TGTGTGTGTGTGTGTGTGTGTGTGTGGATGCGTATGCTACTACCATAATCCAAGTAGAGATTAGAGGACAAATGGCAAGAGGGCAATAATATCTCTCCTTCTACAATGTGGGTGGAGGATTGGACTCAAACCATCACACTGAGCTGCAAGTGCCCTTACTCACTGAGGCCTTACCTCAATGGCCCCAAATTAGAATTTCTTAAACCACAGCCCTGACTTGCCCATTCAAAGTGTGCTGTTAGATATAAAAATGGTTAGAATATTTTTATAACTTGACAAATATACTTCAAAGGAATATTTCATGACAACTGGAAATTATATGTTGTTCAAATGTCTTTACCCATTAGTAATGTTCCACCACAGTTGGCTATTTTCTGTGTTTTCTCAGGAGGCTTTCATGCTTTAGTGGCTGAGCCCTGTAGTGCTGACAAACTATATAATGTATTGGTACCTGTTCAAATGCTTCAGTTTTATCTTTGACTTGAAAAGATTAAAAATCTTTAATCATGATGATACTCACCTTAAATCCTTCTAAGGATGCACATCTCTGGGACTCAGCATAAAGACTCTGTTTCCTTAAGTTGGGTGGGGCTGTGAGTTTGAATGTCTCCTAAGTGCTCAGGTAGATTTGATATCATTGGTCAGGGTTCATCCATTCTCCAACCTAGTAAAAAAGTGAATATGAATTCAGGGCAAATGGAATGATGAGATTCTATATTCCTTCACTGAGTTATCATCTCACTATTTTTTCTGAGGCCTGAACCTTGATGCACTGCAGCCAGGGATGCAGTCTAGTCTGACCCATACTAAATCTATCATTGCTTCTTTTAGTAAGTGAGTTCTGGGATAGGCATTAACTGGGTAGATACATGTTTATTAGATGTAAATAACTCCTTCACCCAGCGTTTGTATCTCAAATTTAAGGTATAGAAAATTGTCCACTCATGACAAGCACTACTTTTCACTGGGCCTTTAAACAAATCCACAGATGAGGTACTGATGAGAGTATCAGAAAAAAAAACAAAAGGTCTTTGTAAAAGTTAATGGTGAAAGCCCCCCCTTAGAACACTTGATTTTCCAAAATGGAGCATTTCACCACTCCGCTTTCCTCTCTGGACAAACTCCAATGTTCTTCTGGTAGGGCATTGCCTTTATGTGTATTGCTTTGGGTGCTCCCTTAAGTTAGTGTGTCAAATGGGGACAGCTCTGTGATGTAGTTGAAGAAATTTTAATCTAGAGCTGCTGAGATGGTTTATGAGGTAAAGGTGCTTACAGCCAACTTTGAAAAGCTGCATTCTGTCTCCAAGACTGATAAAGCAGAAGAGGAGAACAGACTGTCCTGATACTAGTTGTCCTGTGTTCTCCACATATACCCTGACACACTGTAGGGAGCAGAGGATGAATGGTGACTCTTCTCCTTCCAAGGAGGTTAATTTGGTCAACTTGGCTTTATAGTCTCATGTGTGAGAGTGATCAACTTATTCCTATCTCCCTGTTTTAGAAGTACCATTTCTCAGGGACTTTTTAATCCTGGTCAAGCAGGTTATGGGTCATTCTGACTGATACTCCATAATAAAAGAAAACCCATACTATCCAGGTCATAGTTCTGCTTTGAGGAATGAACTCTACAGCCCAGACACAGCACACTTGACTCATTCATCCCACTATTCCCTGGACTCACACTATGAAAGGCAGTGGTCACCTCCTTTAAAGTCCAAAACACTCAGCCAGGCCATGTTGACACATGCCTTTAATCCCAACACTCAGGAGGTGGAGGTAGGCAGATATCTGTGAGTTGGAGGCTCAGCCTGGGCTCCAGAGTGAGTTCCAGGAAAGGCAGCAAATCTACACAGAGAAACCCTGTATCGAAAAACAACAAAAACAAAAAAGGTCAAAGCACCCTTCCTTCCTTCCTTCCTTCCTTCCTTCCTTCCTTCCTTCCTTCCTTCCTTCCTTCCTTCCTTCCTTCCTTCCTTCCTTCCTTCCTTCCTTCCTTCCTTCCTTTCTTTCTTTCTTTCTTTTTGGTTTTTTGAGACAGGGTTTCTCCATGTAGTTTTTGGTGCCTGTCCTGGATCTCGCTCTACAGACCAGGCTGGCCTTGAACTCACAGAGATCGGCCTGGCTGTGCCTCCCGAGTGCTGGGATAAAAGGCATGCATTACCGCCACCTGGCCAAAACACCTTTTCTTGATATCTATATTCCAGTGTTAGTACTTTGCTCGCTGCTCTGAAAGAGATTCAGCTCTTGGGTCAGCTCTTTGCTTCTTTTATCAGAAGCACCACTTGAGCTAAGGAATATGTTCTTACCTGTTCAAACATGACATTTTGGGCCTGGATAATTCTTTGCTGTGGGGTGTTGATCTGTGCAACATATTATATTTATTGTCATCCATGGCTTCTATCCCCAACTCACTAGACACTCAACTTTATCTTCTAATATGAAAGCCAGAAATCTATGTCCACAATGTCAAACGTCCCTCAGAGGACAAACCTTTCTGGTTTTGAGAGCAGTACACACCTACCTCTGCTCCCCACCTCAAACCCAGTGCTCAGTATTTATCACATTTTCCAAACATTTATTGTGTCTCACAAAAATTATTTAAGAATGTGTAACATGAATCTTAAAAGGCCTGATTAATAAAAACAAACCTGGAGCCAGGTATTGAGGTGAATGCTTTAAGATCAGAGAGACAGAACAGGCCACAGCTACCTTCACCTTGCCAATTCCTCAGCTGATCCTGTTTCCTCAAACTGGAAGCCTCTGAGTCCTCATTCAGAATGAATCTCAGCTGAACTGCTCTAAAAGCCTAAAAGCTTAACCAGGCTCTTGTTCCTGGTCCTTACACCTTATACACCTTTCTGCTTCTTGCCATCACTTCCTGGGATTAACGGCATGTATCACCATGCCTGGCTGTTTCTAGTGTGACTTTGAATTTGCACAGATCGAGTGGATCTCTGCCTCCAGAATGCTAGGATTAAAGGTGTGTGGCCTCTAGGTCTATTGAGTGACTATTCTGTTCTCTGACCCCAGATAAGTATATTAAGGTGCACAATATATTGGGGGGGGAAAACAATATCACCACATTAATGTATCTTCCTCCCTCATGGTATTGAGAACTCGTTTAAAGAAAGATCTATTTTTTGTCTTCCTATATAAATGCTTTATTAGCAAGCCTCTAGTAAGCATTTGTTGAATGAACAATAGTGTCACCTAGCTGTTCCTTTTACTAGTGTTATGCATTTCTTTATGCAAGTGAACCCAGTGTTTCATAGCAGTCTGAGATCAGATAATATGTCTCTTGCTTTTAAGTAAATATATGTGTACATGTGAGCATGCTTGTATTATTAAGTTTCTAAAGACTGCTTTTATCAGAATCCTCATAAAACATAAATTCTAATAAAAGAAATGGATCGCCAGCCATGCTCCTCTCTCCATTATGTTCTCTCTTCACTTGCTTTTCCCTTGACCTTGCTTTCTTGAAGCATGGTCCCGTTTTCTTGAGTCTCACAACCTTTGCTTAGCTTGCAAAGCTGTGTTGCTGAATTAGCCAGTTAAATTGTCACATTTGCTTCCTTTTTCTATCCTGTCTCTTCTAATCAGCTACTCTGCTAACTGGTGGGCTAGCATAAAGAAGTCATGCTACGAGCACATCTGTTCACATCTGGCATAGAAAGGGTGGAAGGTCACATTTGTAGAGGCAGCACATCTGACTTCACAGCAGTTTGATAAAAGAAAAAGATGAAAGTCCAGCCTAAAAGTTCTTGGAACTTGATTGACCACAGCAATTGGGGCATTTCCAGCTGGCATTCAGCCTGGCACAGAGACCAAAAACTGAGGCAGGTTAGGATCAGGGAGCTGGCAATTGCCAAGTCCTTTTCTACCTTTTTGTTCTCTTTGTTCTCATTCTCTCTTTCATTGTGCCCATCTCAGTTTATGAGGCCAGTCAATGTCACACCATTGTTTCTAAGCAACAGCCTTAACTGTTCTTAGCTAGCAAGCATTATCCAAAGGGACAGCATTTCTACAAATAACTGGTATGTTTATTGTCTCTTATTACTCTGGTCCTTATTGGAGAATGGCAGCCAAAGTCCTTAGTCCGATGGTGAAGGTCACAAGTGCTTTTTAATTTATTGGAAGACCGCCTATCCAGAATGAGAAGCAAAGGCAGACACTGGGAAATAACCAGTTAAACAGGCTGTTGGTAGAGGTGGCATCCAGACTAAACAGACATTCTTCTAGTATGAATTGTTCAAGGTGCAAAAAAGGAATCTATGGCACTTTAACCAGATAATTAAGAAGGCAATTTTAAATATTGACAAAGTTGGAGACTTTTCTCTTTCTCCATCCCTGTATAGCCCTCTCCAAATACTATTATTACTTAATTGACATCCAATAGATGCTTCTAGTATTCTTGTCCCTCCAATTTTTTACAGCAAGTTAATGGCAGGTAAATTTCTGAGACTATGAGTCCATCAAAACCAGGTGATAGCATTGCATATCTGTATTAGGTATGCATAGATTTGTTCTTGAGTGTTTACTTTACCAGTTAAGGCAGCCTTAATAACTGTTATTAGCAACATTTTGTTGAGAAATATGCACTCTAAGTATTTTATTGACCGTTTTGCCCAAGAGTTTCATGTATGTTGTGATATACTGTTCCTGAGGAGATGTGAACCAATGTTTAATCACCCCAGATAGGGAACTGATGACAGACCTTGAAGATACCATCAAAGTTCAACTTGGTGAGACAGTAAGTTTTATTGGGGTTGCTTGCAGGAATACAGGTGAAAGGATACTTACAGGAACACAGAAAACAGAAGAACAGCTGCATTACCAAAGCATGTGTGACAGCTCACAAAAGGGGGAAACTGGGAGCACACTGCACAGCCTGCAGAGAGCTCAAGATGTTGGAGAATGTCCTTTTTCCAGGTTGTTCAGTTGGCCTGTGCCTCTTCCAGACAACTCACCTGGTTTCTGTTTCTTTCAGTTCTTTGGCAGGTCTCTGCTTCTTCCAGTTGTCTGGGGATGTCTGAGAGTCTTCTTTGCAGCTTTACTGTTTGTTTGTAGGGAAAGGAGGAAATTAGTTAATCTGGTTACTTTTAATGGAATGGTAAGTTTAAGGGACTTCCTGAAGCTATTTTGGGTCCAGGAAATTCCTGTTGTAGTAAGTTTCCCTTTATTATGATGGATAAAACAAAACAAAACAAACAAACAAACAAAGGAACAAGCAAAAAAAACCTCAAAACCTTGCTGAGCAAACGTACTCCATTGAGGTACTCCTAAGCCCACTTACATTATGTGTGAACAGATATCTCTACATAACCAAATCCATTACTTTCCCAACTCTGAGGGCTATTCTCTTTTCTGTTTGTTTGTTTTTCCAAGAAATGTTCATCTATAATGTTTGCCAAATATTTGGGGAAGACATTTACAAAATAAATATGAGAGCAAAGTTCTTTTCAAATGTGTACTTATTAGCTAAGTATATAATAATTACAATTGTGCAGTATGCTAAAGAAATTTATTAAGTTGATGTAAATCTTAGATAATCTTGGAAGCATTGAGCTAACCTCAGTTTTCTAAGCAGTTAAGTCATGGGTGTTATATTTAAGGATTGTACATGGTTATAAATAACAGAGCCAATATTTGATAACCAAGCCTTATAATCAATATTACTATCTAAAAATGAATTGATATGTGTATTTACTTCCAATATTCATTATGAATACCTCTGAAATAGTCACAGCATAGCACAATTACTGACTCATGAAAATACTTCAAACATAAATTTTATGTCTGATATTGATAAAGGTTGCATTTTACAAATCCTGAGTGTTTCTCTTTACTGAAAGCCAATGTTAAGCCTGAACATTTTGGAGATGCACACACAGATGAAGTCTGGTATTAGCCATAGGGAAACATCTTGTTTGGCGTCAGAAGCTCCAGCCTCAGTCAGCTGTCTCAGCCGGGGCTCCTCTGTTCCCTTCTGCTCTGAGCACATAGTCACCTTCTGTCCTACTTATGCAGTGTGGCCCAGGTGTGACACATTCAAGTTCCAGACATCAGACTGTGAAAACAGAAGGTATTAAATATTTATCAAGATCACCTCCCTCTTTTGGCTTTTATTATTTTTTTTTCTGCATCTTGTTTGCAGACCAGGACTGAAACACAGTGAGAGGAGGACATAGATATTGACCAGCATGCTGCCTTTGCAATCAAAACCAACTGCTTTCATTTCTGCTCAGCTATTTACCCACTGACTTTGGGCAAGTCATTCCAGCTCCCTGCACATATTGTTTGTATGTACTGAGGGTAATAACAGTAGTGCCCACTTCCTGCAGTCGTCATGAGAATTAAATGAGAGAATTCTTGGCTTGGATCTTAAGAAAATGTTAATTTTTATTCTCTTTTCTTCCAGTATTTACTATATAATTTTGTAAATTGTAATAATTTCTATGCAACGAAACCTGCTATTTAAACCATGTAAAATAGTGATTTTTTTTTTAAAAAAAAAATATGTAACCAAGTTTATACAGTAGCTGGTACTATGCAACTCCAGATTGTCGTTTAACATTTGTGAGAAACATCACACATTACATCTTACTCTGCATGACATCTTACTCGGCCATTGTGTCTCCACTCAACTATGGATTACCAAATCTGTTCTGCATGTTTATGGATTTTCTTTTCCAAGGTGTTGCATGTAGATTGAATCATATAATAGAAACCCCCTTTTTTATAGTGTGTGGCTTTCATTTTATAGCATTTTCAAAGTTAATTCAAGTTTTGCAATGGAGTAACACTCTCTTTCTTGTTAAAAGCTGATTATTATTTTGCTGTAGGTATATATCATATGCTATTTATTATTAACTATATTATAATGGAAAGTCCCTTTTATAGTACATATAGAATTTTCATTATACCAATCAGGGAAATCCCCAACCATTCCAAGGCTTACATTAAAAGGCCCTTTTTTTTATAAATTCTGATTGGTGTGGAATTAAATAATTGAGATAGTTCCTTTAGTCTAATTCTTCTTATCTTTAATGGGGAATAACACCTCATGTATTGTCTTATCATGCAGATAAAATTAACCTTTCCTGGAACATAATCAATTTTTTTTTTGGTTTGTGAGTAATAGATACTGGATCCATTGCTGTGTATTGTTATTTTCCTTATTAGTGGGAATAAATGATGCTGTTAAGCCCTGCCATACATCTACCAATTCAGCAAATTTCAGCATTAGATAGTATTTACTGCCCTGCTATCACAAACCACGAGATAAAATTAAATAATGGCCCACCTAGGACCATGATAACTAACATAAAGCAACTAGGGTTTAAATTGTATTATTTATGCCTTTGTATGGTCTAATTTTGGATTAATACAATATAAAGAATAACTGCTTTGAAGTATTCTAGAAGGAAAGCTGATGATGATATGGATGATGTTACCTATTTATATGCATAAATTAAACTGGCATATATACATGTAGATGTAGATCTACCTACCCCGTCTCCATCTCTTTTTCTGCCACCGTATCTTCTATTGGAACAACTCATCAAAATCTGCTGAAATCAATTGAAAAGGCCATTGAGCAGCAGCACAGACTGTGTAGAGTCCTTGTGCATGATAAATTCAAGAATGGGCCTCATCTATCCCCTTTCTTTTCAGCAGCTTGTTTCATTGGTCCAGATCACCAGCTTGAGACTAGGTATCCTGAAGATCCATTTTCTGCATTCATTCATGGAGAAAGCAGTCACCTGTTAAATTTAGATTTCTTGAATGTGCCAAGAGTGTGACACAATGATAAACAGCTACTGTTTCTAGGAAAGGTTGAGAAAGCTTAGTCCTTCAGTGTTAATTGCTTTGTGGCACTGAACCATAAAAACGGCAGCAACTGGATCCATAGAAATCTGAAATCATATAGGGGTGGCCACTCATCTTGGTGACACTAAGGCCATTTCATTCATCTCCAGGGTGTGGGCTTACTGGCTACTACTGGTTTTAGTATATGGTTCTCTGAGTAAATGAGGATATGTGGGAAATTTGGGGGTGACTTATTTACAAACCAATTTTATCTTTCTCACCATCATTGGCCATTGCATTTACTTTCTGGATTTTTATTACTACCCTCTATTTTCTTCAAATAAGCAGGCATGCTTATATACTTGATGAATTGCAAATTCTATGGTAGTCTTCGCTGAGTAGTTGGTCAAGGATTCATTGCTACTGAGATATGCATAGATGCTTTCACTCTCCCTCTGTTCTCTTTCTAACTTTCATGGCCTGGGTCATATTGGAAAAGTTAAACATCTGAAATTGGGTTTTCTTCAGCAGCAGCAATAGAATTTTAGCTAACATCTAGTGTTAGATATTAGCTGTTTAGAAATAGGAATCTTCAGCTCTCCATGCATTCAACTCTTAGTTTCAGTGGTTAGAGTTTTTACTCAAAGATTCTACATGACTTACTACTAGAAAGTGGTTTCTTCATGCTGCTGTTTGTTATGAATCTCATTATAAAAAGTTTGTATGGTACTGGAAAATATTAAATTATTTCAACATCCTTTGGCTTTGTTCCATAATTCGGCAGCCCTCCATACCATTTTGTTTTGATTTTCAAAGCTAGTTTCTTAGGAAGTGTCATTAGACTATTTCACAGTGAGCAGTTTTGTAATTTTATTTGATATGGATTGAAAACACTTGTAACAAAATAGAATCTGAATACATTATAAATGAATTGATATTGTAGGAAAAAAATGCTCAAGTTACAATGTTCCCATATCTATGGGAAATTACTCACTCAGTACCTGTTTTTTCCCATCCTTGTTCTAAGAACACTGGCAGGCAGTAATATTGAACAAAATAAATAGTATCTGGCCATGTGGATCTAAAATTTTGGTAGTGTAGAAGGAGAAGCAAATAAGTAGAATATTTAGCATATGGGATGCTAAGAAACATAGAGAAAAATAAATTGGAAAATGAGGTTAGAATAATTCTTTTTCCAGGAAGTGGCTGTATGTTTTAAAATAGTTTTTCAAGTATGAATTCCCAGTCAGAACTAACATTTGAAAGAAGTTCTAAAAAACATAAGAAAAAGAAGCAAATGATATCTCTGGCACAAGTAATGCCAGATGAAGCTTCAAGGCAAATTTTGCTGGCATTTTAGAGAGCAATGTCTGGAAAAATGGAATAAAATGGAATGCTAGTGGGACTGGATACTTAGTGGCATTAGGGAGACTTGGTATACTGTAGGTTAGATATAATATTATTTACTAATCATAGCTAAGATTAATTTATATATGAGAATGCTCTTTTTTAGTATATGTGCTACCGAAGCGAGTGAGAATGCTCTTTTTTAAATTATAGAAATCTTGGATTTTTGGCAAATGTTAGTCATATACCTAACGACAAATCATGACATGAAATATTTTCATCATCTGCCTAAGTCTTTTATATTACCTTCCCTAATCACTGTACCTGGCAGTATCTAATCTGCTTTCAGTCAAAAGAAGTTATGTTCATTGGAATATAGCATCAGCATTCTTTTACTTAGCAAATAAAATAAGTGATCATGTGACAACATATATACAACACTGATAAGTCCTTTGGAACTGCATATCCAAATTCACCTGCTTGTAGAATTTTGGCTTGTTTCTAGATAATAGCTATTTAGAAATAAATACCTTATAAACTTATAGATATAACTGGTCTGTGGGAATATTTTAATTTTCCCCAAGCAAATACCTAACAGTGTAATTGTTAAGTATTAAGTTACATATGTGTTAACTACATAAGAAAATGCGTAGCTGTCTTTATTAAAAATGATGTGTCATTTTACGATCTTATTAGTGATATATGATATTTCCAGTTCTGTATTGTCTCTTATGATCATTGTGCAGTATATTTTTCACTGCCATTTCATGGCCCTGTTTGGTGTTAACTGATGAGCTTGCCTACCTTTTATATGCTTATTGGTGGTGATCTGTATTTTCATTTCTGTGAAAATAGTGTTCAAATGATTTTACAAAACTATGATACATTTACTCCCATTTTTGGAGACCTCTATCCCAGAAAATGTAGTATATTGCCATTGATCTTAGTGACCACTTGGAAGTGGAAGGTACAGCCCTGTTGCTGAAGAAACTACATACTTTGTATACAAGGTTTGAAAGAATGTAGTTTCAACTGATCTAGAAGCTTCCTCCCTGGGGGATGGTTCTCATTACATCAGAGGTTGCTATGTAAGCTAAGATCATGGACCCTAGGGGAGAATGTAGTACTGCCACTTTTGGGAATGCTGTAAACATGATTCTCATGCCTGAATTCTCAAAACAATAATAAATACCTCCCAAAATTCTTTTGTTGCATATAGATGTGTGTGTGCCTGTGTGTGTATATGTGTGCGTATGTATACACATATGTAGTGATATGATTCTAAATATAAACTGTTTATATAAACTTACTTGCTTCTATGTTTTCAGGGATTGCCATTTGGCACTGAGCAATCAATTGCTATGCTACTACCTGGAAAAGTTCTCTTTTCCTACCCCCCCCCCCATTTCCTCAGTTGTTTATAGTTATTTGTGTAGGGTTTAGGCCTACTGGGCTTTTCCTGTTCACTTTGACATGTTCTTTGGTCTTATTCTTGTTCAGTTCACATTTGGGCAGTTATGTTGGTAAGACTTCATGGATATTACTTCTGATATTACTAGGAGACACACTTTCACAGTAAACTCACTGCTCTCTTGGCTTTTCAATCTTTCTCCCCCCTCTTCTATAATGTTTTCTGAGCCTTAGTTGTGGAAACATTTTTTAAATATATTCATTGGGACTGGACTTAACAACTCTGCATTTTGCTTGGTTGTGGTTTACCATAGTGGTCTCTGATGAAAAAAAAATAAAGAAGTTTCTTTGATAAGAGATTAAGACTACACTTATCTGTAGGTATAAAGACAAATATTTTTTTTTAGATTGTTGTTAGGGGTTGTGCTTATTTAGCAAATTAGAGTTGGTAGACTACCTGCCAACTACTCTGACTTTACTAGCATGGAATAGTTATCTAAGTTTCCAGTGCCAAGCATGATGTCCCTCATTTTGAGTGTGTCTTAGGTCCAATTAAAGAGCTGTTGGTTACCACAAATGTGTGCCTCTACTACCGTACTCTTAGAGTTATTGCTTGTCATTGATGTAACTAATATGTATCTAGCTAGTTTCGGGAGTTGACTCAGTTAGTCAAGATGCTTGCTGTGTATGTGCATGCCTGAAAACCTGAGTTTTATCCATGGAACCCATAGTAGATGGAGAGAAACAATTTCAGAAATTGTCCTCTGAATCCTACATATGCACACATTTCTACACACACACACACACACACACACACACACACACACACACACACACATCAATAATATAGTGAAAAGTAAAGTAATATTGCCTGTGTGTGGTTATACATTCATTCATGTTTTAGTTTTAATATCTCTGTAGATGACTCAGTCCATTGGACTTACCTTGTGTGGTGGGTTTGAACTTTCCTCCAAACATAAATTCTGGGTCGTCATAGATCATAGCTTGTAGAGAGCTGCCTGTAGCTGTGCCTCAAAGATGGCGCTGGCTTCCACCTTCCACCTTCCCGACGGTTAGTGCTCTCTTTGATAAACAACTCCTTATTTGGCTAAGGCTAAGGATTTGGCTTGCTTCTGCGTACCTGGACCTATCCGCAGTACCCACGTGGCAGATTGGGGTTGGCTGCCCAGAAGCTATTTAGGTTGTGGGTTGGCTTTCCTGGAGTCAGAAGATTGTTTCAAGGTTTCTGAATAAACTGCTTAGAGAAGAGCCTGGTGTTGCATCTTCCTTACTGGTCGAGGCGGACGCGACAATAGCTCATTGGTTTATTTTCAAAGGTATGATGATTTGTTCTGCTTCTTTGCCCAGGATCTGAAAAAAAAAAAAGTCCAGTTTTCAGGTTTCTTTGTGTGGGGGGGGGGGGGGGGAGGGGAGTTGCAGTATTTATTCCCTTATGGGTGAAAAATTCAAACCCCCTAATGCAGTTCAATTTTTACTGTCAATTGAACCCATGAGAACTGCCCACAGACATGTGTAGGGTATAAATGGTCATCTTTATCATCCCATCATGGCCTTCTTTGTGTCTTAGTAAATGTGGTTCAACAAGTAGACGGTGGAAACGTGATAAGAAGTTTAATAGCATCACCACCAGCTCACTTGATTTTTTGGTTGAGATGTTTCACACTCTAGGGGGCTAAAGGCTGCTAAAATACCCAGCAGACCCATAGGCAGATTGTCCATGGATAGGAATAAATAAGGCAGTCTGGACGTTTTTGACATTTCACAGAGAAATCCATTACGATTCATAGGTACAAACTTAATGACCTTCAAATGCCTTATATTTTCTCCAAACACGTTACTCTGAGACTTCCCAAAGGGTAATGGGAAGTCTCATAGATTACATTTTTGCTATGTTCTATCCACAAATGGATAGCCAGTGTCACTTCTCATTACACATCAATGATGCCTCAGCATATGCAACAGTGATCAGAGTAAGGACAAAGAATGAAAAAAGAAAGTAGTGAATCAATGCTATGTTGAGCACAGATTCAGCTCTTACTATGGGAGAACTGGCTTATCTCCTAAGCCTCAATTTCTCCAACTACATAAGAACCAGGACGATATGTCATTACCTAACTTCAAAATTACCAAATTCTAAAAAATAATAAGGCACTGAGAATATAGCTCAGTGGGAGTATGTTGCCTAGAATGAAAAACCTAGTGTTTAATCACTAACACTATAAAAAGCAAAGACAAGATGAGTATGTACTTTTTACTAAACTATGAGGATATGTATAACATACAATATGAGATGTATAACACATAAAGATCTGCTGTGTTTAGCATGTTAAAAAAAACCATGTTTCTGAGTGTATTTCCTGATCTTCAAATGTTTCTACAGGCACAAGGAAACTACTATAATTCTTCAGTGTGTTTTAGTGATATTTTGAGCCTTTGGACTCCATATGCCAATGGCTCTAGGGCACAAGTCTGATAAAAGTGGATGCATGTGTGATGTGAGGGTCTGTGTATGTCCATGTGCATATCTTATAACTCAGATGGGTTCATGCTCTGATAGAAAAAAAATATGCATGTCAAAAAAATACTATAAACACAGTAGTATTTTTAGGTGAAAAATGAGATCCATATGTATTTACAGCTAATCTAAAATTAGAGTTACTTGTTTAGAAAGAGATCTGTTACAACAAAGAAATGACCTGAGGGAATGATTGTTAAGTGCCTTGGTTCCACTGTATGTTTTATAGAGTAAAAATAGCAAAAATTGGAATAGGATTATTGTTAGGATTTGTTGTACAACTGAAGGTATATTTGGCATATTGAACTGTATTACAATTAAAACTAGGAGGAATTTTTTTTGCTGTTGGGATTCTTTCTGTTTTGGAAGTCAGTTAAGCATGATAATCAGCACAGTGTAACAAGAACAGAAAAAGACAGTGGTCAGTAGCATTTAAAAAGGCCCCTGAAAGTCTACTTATTGAGCTTTTGATGGTGTCCACGGTCTCACTTGCTCGAAATTCATTTCTTCTTCATTGTTGTTGTTGTTATTATAGAGTCAAAGAGAGAACTAGGTGACACAAGAACTTCAATTACTTAGGATCTCCTTAACTCCTGAGCCAAACCTACAAAACAAGTTCCTGGGAAAGCAAAGATTCAAGATAATTAGTGTCAACAATTAATATCCTGAGATGATGTAACTGGGGATGAGTAGCTTAAATATCTCCACCATCCTGTTCCCTTATGTTCTCATCTCCATCTCCTACCCTCCATTGCCCACTACTCATCCCCAGTTTACTCATCTATTTCCCTTTTCCAGGGCAATCCATTCATCCCTCTTTGGGTACTCCTTGTCAGCTAGCTTCTCTGGAGCTGTGGGTTATAGCTTACTTATCCTTTGCTTTACATCTGGTATCCACTTACGATTGAGTCCATACCATGTTTGTCATTCTGAGTCTGGGTTACCGCACTCAGGATGATATTTTCTAGTTATATCCTTTTGCCTGCAAATTTCAAGATGTCATTGTTTTTCACTTCTCAGTAGTACTCCATTGTGTATATGTGCCACATTTTCTTAATCCATTCAGAGCAGGGATGGAGTGTGAGAGCAATGAAAGAGATACCATGACAGAGGGAGACATCATGGGGATAGGGAGAAACTGGGTCCTAGGGAAGTTCCCAGGAATCCTCCAGGATGACCCCAGCTTGGACGACTAGCAATAGTGGAGAGGGTGCTTGAACTGGCTTACCCCAGTAATCAGATCGGTGAATACCTTAACTCTCATCATAGAGCCTTTCTCCAGTAACTGATAGAAGCAAATGTAGAGATCCACATCCAAACACCAGGCAGAGCTCCAGGAGTCCAGTCGAAAAGAGAAAAGGAATTCCATGAGCAAGGGCATCAAGATCATGATGGGGAAACCTACAGAGACAACCGAACCAAACTGTGGGAACTCATAAAATTTAGATCAATAGCTGTGGAGCCTGCATGGGACTGGACTAGGCTTTCTGCATAGCAAGACAGTTGTGTAGCTTGATTTGCTCAAGGGGCCCCCTGGCAGTAGGATCATGATCCATCCCTGGTACATGAGCAAGCTTTTTGGAGCTCACTACCATTGACGGCATACCTTAAGGCAGGGGGAGGGGCTTGGACCTGCCTCTACTAAATGTACCCCCCCATGAGAGGTCTTACTTTCTCATAGGTGGGAATAAGGGGTGGGTTGGGAAGGGGGCTGGAGGGGCAGTAGGAGGGAAGAGGGAAATCTTTGAGTAGTATGTAAAATTGTCTTAATAGAAAAAATAAACTTAAATATAACAATCATGGGTAAAAGCTACTCATGCTTTAGTGCACCTTTGTTTAAAAAAAAGCATAGTGTCACAAACTCAGTTCACCTTAGGCTTTAGGTGTGATAGTTACTGTTTATATGTTTACATACAAAGATACTACCTACAAAACCATCTGGATTTGCACTTTAATAGGTTCATTTAGCAGATTTGGTTTTGATTTACTCCATGAAATTCCAAGACATTCTCATTAAACAATGTGAAATTTAGATTTTTAATTCCACAATAGAATAAATGAGAATAAATGTAGTGGAAGAAAGAGGTCACATTGGGACAAGATCACATTAGCCATCAAATCAATTAGAGCCCAGAATGGTGTATAGAAAAAATAAATCTGATAACAGTCTGCTTTCCTGACTGCTTAAGAAAACCTAGCAAAAGCCTGAGTATTTAGAAGTTATATTTACAAATTGGCTACATGTAGTACATCATTAACATAATTTGGTTTGTAATATATTTGCCATTAAGCTGACTAACAGATAATTCTACATGACCATAAGTTATTAATATGGCTAACTGCAAAATATAAGAAAATGTCCCAGTCTTGGTGAAAGGATGAAGGCAAAGTAAGTAGCCAAATAAAAACTATAATATGAGGCATTTCCTCTTAAACTTCCCATGTTTAGTATATAGTGGCTTATAACATCTCATGCAAGTGACTATATAGCTTAACAGAAGTTATGCTACTTTATCTGACAATGCTCCTCACAAGAACCATAACACCCAATTCCAGGCACTAGAAACCTCCTATCAAATGGTCAGATAATCCTAGTGTCTCCCAAAACAATATAGAACTTGGATGCTTCACGCTAGATCTAACTTAAAATCCCCTTTCCTATGGTACCAGAAAATATAAGCAAGCTCACAAGGTAGGGAAACAAATGAATGGTCTTACCTAGCTGTGACACTTAAGAACTACAACAGTGACTGATGGGGGATAGTATCTATAAACGTTCAATAAGTACCACTCACATGTGTGTGGTAACCAACAACTGTCTAATTGTACTTAAGGCCCAATCAACAGGAGAAAAACCATGCCTTATGCTAGAACCCTAGACTAAATGTGGGGCTTATGAGGTTATGACCCTTACATAAGAATAAACTCCCACCTTTTAATATACCTTTCTACGTTCTAAAATGTATCCTTATACCCACAGATGAGTGTAGCTACCACTCATAATCAAAGAATCTTCTCTTTACAGCAAATGGAAACCGTCACAGAAAACTGCAACTTGACAAAACACAGAAATCAACATATCATGGTGAGTACAGCCCCACTGAATACACATGCATATCAGTTCCTGCATCTATGTCTCATGGAACCCTGCAGAAGAAGCTGCAGAGATATATTAAGAGCCAGGAATACAAAGAAGTATGCTATGAAACAGGTCTTCTTGTAGGTGGAGTTTCTCTGTCTCAGAAGCTGTTCACAAATAAGCATGATGAGGTTTCATATTAACTCTAGATAAGGCTTAATATTAACTCTGACTGACCAAGAACTCAGTCTTGTTACTAGCTAACTATTACAGTTTAAATTAACTCATATGTCTTATCTATGCTTTGTTGTGTGGCTTAGTAGCTTTTTTCAGTATAGCAAGTTTATCTGCTTCTCTCTGCATCTCTTGAAATTCTCTGAGACTCTCTCCCCTCTTCTTCATGCCCTCTTTTTCTACAAGTACCACCTAACCTTTATCTGTCCAGCTATTGGTCAGTCAGCTTCTTTATTAACCCTATCACAGTGACACATATTCACACAGTATAAGGGAATGTTCCACATTCCCCCCTTTTTGTCAAGTTAAAAAGGAAGGCTTTAAATATAACATAATAAAATTATCTATAATGATATCTATAATGAAAACAATTATCAGGTAAGAATTACAGTTATAATATTCAGTCTATTTGTATTTGGCAAGTAAAGAAAAAATAGTCAGCTGTCCTCTCTTGAAGAGTTCAGAGTTTTATAGCTTATTTACTTTTTATTATGGTTTAGGAGAGCTGCAACTGTAAAGATCTAGTCTTCATCCTGCTCAAAGACCTCAGAAGGATATAATATTACCCGAGTAAACAGGAAGTGCTGAGCAAACAACTTCAAAAACTAAGAAATGACAGAAACAGTTGGCTGCCTTGACACCCAAGTTTCCTCAGTAATGTAGCATCAGTCTTTGGCCTACAAGTCTAGAAAATCTGTGAAGCAGGAAGTTTGAAGGACTGTCTGTAGCTAGAGTTTTCCTGCCTTGTCCACAGTCAGGAAAAATCTTTGTCACCCGCCAGTCCCATAGCCGCTCAGACCTAACCAAGTAAACACAGAGACTTATATTACTTACAAACTGTATGGCCGTGGCAGGCTTCTTGCTAACTGTTCTAATAGCTTAAATTAATCCATTTCTATAAATCTATATCTTGCCACATGGCTCGTGGCTTATTGGCATCTTCACATTCTGCTTGTCCTGGCGGCAGCTGGCAATGACTCCTTCTGCCTTCCTGTTCTTTCTTTTCTCCTCTCTGTTAGTCCCGCCTATACTTCCTGCCTAGCCACTGGCCAATCAGTATTTTATTTATTGACCAATCAGAGCAACACATTTGCCATACAGAACATCCCACAGCAACTGTCTCACCTTGTTTTGGCAAATTTAGCAGTAACTTTCTTTTGTGTCCTGCTTCTCCAATTTGGACAGCATATTGTTAGTAGTTGAGGCAAAGACAATTTCTTGCCCAGTGGCTAATTTTTGCCACAAAGAAAGCAAACATCATATTGGTTTTCTTTGATGCTCATCATTCTTTTTTGAAGTAGATTGGTGCTGCCAGGAGCAGACATGTGTCATTGTTAAGAAAGTCTTTTTTAAAATGAAAACATTTTATTAAAAGGTTTTAAGTGCCATATTGTGTAGGTCTTTGAAGTGTTTGAAGGTCATTTGTCTATTTAAAATATATCTCTGTTTGACTTTGAAAACATGAGTGTAAGTTTGATAGTTATGTGTGACTAACTATTAACTTATATTTCTTTATTATCCTACATAACTTTCAAGGAATAAAACTTTACCTTACATAACTAAATGAGCTGCATAAGTACAATACCTTTAACAGAAAAAGAAACATACATACAGTTTAACAAAATTAACTTTAAATTTGTATTAATAAACTAAAACCAAAACCACTGTAAAATATTTTGAGTTTTTTTTTTTTTTTGGCTTAAAGTAGATAAAAGAATTTGCCCCTTTGTCTCATAATTTCTAAGTTGCATTCCCCTTTTATTCCTTTAGAAAGAGGTCTTTGAATTTAATTCCTTTCTTTAACTTTTTTTTTTTTTTACTTTGACTAATAACAACTTGTAACAACCCCCTGTTAAATGATAACAAACATCCATCACCAATCATTTGGGAACATGGGTGTTATTTTCTTTACACTGTTTCCTGTTGTTTTGGTGTGCTGGCATCTTTGAGGAACCCTGAAAAAATTTACCATAATGGTTAAGTATTGGCTGGAGTAGTTTGTGAGGTTGAATCATCTCAGCCAGCAACCTTAAAGCAGTTCTATATTTTGGATCACTTGGGCCATCTGTTTTTATTGGGATCTGCCCCTCCACTGCTCTGAAAATACATACAGTTTTAAAGGTAACATAGGTATCTATATTAATACAGTATAGACTTGCACTGTACACAAGTGAGCCAAAGATGAGTTTTTGTTTTATGTTTGAGCAGACAAAATATATATCACATGTCTTATAGTTCTTCTAGGTTTATTTATTTATATTTTAGTAAAGATTTTCAGGGATGTTTCCCTGATCAAAACTAATCCATATCAACCTGGAACTAATCTACAACCTCTTCTCTCCTTTGGAAATAAAAAACATAACCTCTACCCCAAAGTAACATAATATGTGAATTCCATTTTGAACTCAAGACATTTTTAAAATATATAGATTGGTTTAATTTAACAGTTTTCATAATACAACTTGTCTTAGAAACTGTCATTTCTTTATTAGTAATCAGAAAATCTAAAGATAACACAATAACATACAGAGTACAAACACTCTGTGTATTTCCATATTTACTTTTTGACTTTCTTTTTTGAGAACTTTATTATTTTTAAATTATTTTTTTAATCTAAGAATGTTTCTAACTCTTTTATCTATGTTTATTTTTAAGCATACTCTAACCCATTTAGAGTTCTTTTTCTTTTATTTTTTTCTTTTTCTTTTTGTCTGGATATGTCTTTACTGAACATCTGAAACCATTTTTTTTGTGTGTGTGTGTGTCTGCATGAAAAAAAAACCCAGCTTCATTATACAGTACACTGGCAGAGCTTGCACTAGTAGCTCAAACCCACAGGTAGTGGCTAGGAGATGCCTCTCTAGACCATGGTCCTTGTGAGAGACTACAGAAATCTTTCCTGTGGATTAGATCATGGCATGCTAGAAGCTGTCAGGAGATACTTCTCTGTATTAAAGCTGGAATGAGAGGCATGAGACGAGGAAGCCACGTGTTACTCCACTTTTTTGTATGTTTAAAACCCTTTTCAAGCTTCCTCAGGGCATATGTGGTTGTTTGTGTTAGACATTTAGGCACCATATGTAGGCAGACTCTTCTGTGTTTGGCAGCTGCTTCTAAATAACCGCAAAGAGGCTTAATGTTAAGTATGTATAAATGACGGGTCAATAGTTCAGGCTTATTACTTCCTAACTCTTACATTTTAATTTAGCTCATATTTTTTATCCATGTTCTGCCATGTGCCTTGGTAGCTTTTCTCAGTATGGCCAGTTTATTTCTTACTTTCTATGTCTCCTTGAGATTCTCCAAGACTCCTCTTCCTCTTCCTTGTGTTCTCTTTTTTCTGCAAGCCCTGCCTACCTCGACCTATACAATTATTGTAGAGTTAGCTTCTTTATTAACCGAATCACTATAGCCCATATTCACACAGTGTAAAAGAACAAAATGGCGGTAATGCTGTGGAATAATCTTTTTGTACACTGTGAAAATGTCTTGTTTTCACTGTGAATAAAAAGCTGTTTGGTGGTTAGCTAGGCAGGATTTGGTGGGCAGAGAGAATGCTTGGAATAGGGACAGAGTTGGAGGAGTCACTAGCCAGACACAGAGGAAGCAGGACATGTACAAAATTAAATAAAAAGCCATGAGCCACATGTAGAATTTAGATAAGAAATATTGGTTAGTATAAGTTGTAAGAGCTACTTAATAACAAGCCTAAGCTATCTGCCCATCATTTGTAATTAATATTAAGTCCCTGAGTTGTTATTTGGAACTGGATGATGGGACATAAACATTTGCCTACAGCTCTTCTAGAAATAGTTAAATAAACAAGACCCAAGCAATGTCAATATCAATGAACATGCTAATGTAGAAGGGAGAAATTTCTCATGGTTACTAGACAAATAACTACAAACAACTTCTGAGACAAGAATTAGCCTCTCCCAGGAATGAGAACCATAGCTGATTATCTAATACAAACTATTCATCCCTGATACCATATGCACAATCAACAAAAATGGGCTAAACAGGTTATAGGTGTGTATGTAAATATACATACTTCATATTCAAATATATACTCAATAATAACTGAGTATATGTTAGTAACAATAATCATCAAATATAAAGAGGCTAACAAACTGACATAAAAGACTTGAGAGGGGTTGGAGAAAGGGTACTTGAGAGAGTCTTAAGGAAGCAATGAGATGGAGAATAGTGACACTGTTGCATTTTAATTAAAAGTGTGTAAGTTTTTAAAATTCTAACTGAACAAAAAAATTAAGGTCTACATCTAGCATGATGGAAAAACACTCAAAATATATTAAAAAATATGCCTACCTGCTATCATTCAACTGTTACCACCATCTATTTCACAGCTATCTGTATTCTGATTCATTGTAGGAATTCTGAAACAGTTTCTGAGCTTCCTGGTATCCTGGGTGCTTCTGTTCAGATATGATCCTGCAAGGCCTCTTTCCAAATCCCACCAAGGTTTTGCTTCTTGCTGTATGGAAACTTCAACAATCTAAGCCTTGAGCTGGCTGTTGATTAAATATTCTGAACTTGTCTTCAACAGCTATCTACATGTCTACATGGTATGAACAGTGAGTCTTATTATCCTTATTTTCAAATATACCAGGCACTATCCTTATTGTCAAAGATATCATGAGCATGTATTTGTATGTAGTGTGTATGTGTTTGTATTTTCACTCATCTCAGAGCACTTAGGTAGGTTAAAAGCTGATGTTAGGATGTATTCCTCAAGCACTTCTATACCTTGCTTTTTGGGAGTCTTTCCCTGAACCTAGTACTCACTGGTTTGCCTGGACTAGCTAGCCAACAAACTTCCTGGATCTAGTTCTCTGTCCAACCACTAGAATTGTAGATATATCCTACCATATTCTGGGTGGCTAATCTCAGTTGTCAACATAATGAAATCTAGAATCATCTGTAAGATGGCTTCCTGTGTATGTCTCTGGGTGGTTGATTGATTAAGTTATTAGAGGTGGGAAGAACCACTATGAGTGCACCATACTTTGGGCTGGGATAGTGGACTGTATATAAAAAAATAAAAAAAAAAACACCTGGGTACAAGCATTTATTCTCTCCTTCTTGAGTGCCTAAAATATGACCAGCCACCTCTTGTTTTTATTGGTATGATTTCACCAACATGTTAGACTATAAGCTAGAACTGTATGCCAAAATACACCCCTGCTTTGTCCTTATGTTGCTTTATCCCACAAATGAAAAGAGTTAAGTGTGATAGTGAGGTTGTGTATGGTTTCTAATGATCAGAACTCAGTTCCTCATGTTTGTGCAGCACGTGTTTTACACACTGAGCTATCTCCCTAGCCCACATTAGCCACTACTTGACAACTTATACATGCTCTACCAGGAATATTATTTTCCCAGATGTCCTTATATCTTGCTGTTCTCCTTAGGGGTCTTTATTTACCCTGCCAAGGCTTCTTCTCCCCATGAGCTTACAACTCCTCTGTTCTCTATGTTTCTTATAGGCTTTGCTGTCTAAAAACCCCCCAGCTCACTCAAAGCATTGTGAAATACATTTTACTCAATTACATTTTTATCTTAGTTATGTCAGTGTAAATAATAGACTATTTAGAGTCCATTGAAACAAATAGTATACTCAGTAAGAACTTGGAGTTTTGTTATTTTACTTTTCTGTGGCTGTAGTCATTAGAGAAATGACTAACTGGTGAAAGATACATTTTGAACAACCAAATCAGCGGGAAGAAAAATGGAAGGAGCAGAAGCAAAGAAAAGTAAATGGCAGGTAGTTGCTGGAACTGGCACTTTAAATTACTCGAAGAAGAGAAAGCTTTACCTGGGAACATAAATTGAAATAGTTATTGGTCCAGTGCTTTGCTAAAACAGGGCCATATCACTGGAGTCAGAAGTTAAGTGACTCGTTTGATGTCATTGAGTGATTTTGTGGCAGAGTCTGGCTCAGATCCAGCTCTTACTGGTCACCACCATACTGTCCTTGCAACCACACAGGCACAAAAACATACTGTGAATAATCAGTTAACATCTTCCACAGATTTCTAGAATTACATTGCCTTATGAGTTTGTATTTAGAATTAAAATGTAAGTAGATATTCAGTGTGTAGAAATTTATGGACATGAAATATCAGCTAAAGGAAGACACAATGACATTTTTCATTCTTTGCTTTTGGTGAGGTAAGGGGAATTTTATGCACCTTCCTTATTAGTAATACCTCACAATGACTACATGTGGATACGTAGGGGATCCTAATACTGAGCTTCTAACCCTCAAGCATGTTGGAGACACAAAGGAACTTTTGTGCCTTTTTTCTTGTCCCTTTAAAGTTATAGATAAGACAAAATAGTGTCAGGGATGAGACTGTTTCTTCATATTCTACAGATGTGCAGCAAAGATAGAAACAATGAACGTAAATTTTTTTCAACAATCAATTGTTAATAATAGAAAGCATTTGGCCTATCCTGATCCTCTAGCCTAGCCCTTCATTTTACAAATCCAGTCATAAAAGCAAGAGATAATGATACTACCAATTGTCACACACCTACAGTGAAAATAGGGACAACATTGCAAGTCATATGATTCTCAATTTGGAACCACTCCCCAGTTCCAATCTGCATTTAACTTTAAAAATATTACTATTGGTGACATTCAAAGAATTGTGGAGATGCCATTGAAAATTACCGTGTGTGTGTGTGTGTGTGTGTGTGTGTGTGTGTGTAATATAAATGGATACCAAAGTTAAAGAACAGAAATTATATGAGGGTAACATGGAAGTGCATACTTGAAAAGAGGTCATTAATACAGTGGCTATTTGCTTCCAGAAACTGTTCTTGATTCTAAATACAAAGTTTGTAACCACTATAGATACTGCTAGTTTATTGGTATTAGCTGAACCAGAAACATTTGGAGAAGACAATTAAGAAATTGTGAAAGAACTTGGAACTTTTGTTCATTGCCCAAACATTATACTTTTGTAAAACTATTTTTCAGAGGAGGGACATTTGGCTTCCTAGTGCTCTGAGAAGCACAAAGGAGTGGGTCTAGATTTGCATCTATACCCATTAAGCACCCAAGTCTCTACAAAGGAGCACAGATTGCCTTCAAGAAGACATACTAGGAAGTGGAAGAACTATACAAGTTCTTCTGATCTGGTATTATCAAAGCACACTCAACAATGTATGTGAGGTCATAGTTTGTATTAAGTCTTCATGAATGTAATACCATCCTCTGACAGGTGTACTCTGCTCTGAGGTAACACTTATTAAAATGAAGTAGAAACAAATTTATGACTAAACAAAACTTATACTAATACATGAAGGATACTAATGTTGATAATTTTAGTGTTAAATCATTTTCATATGGTCTGAGAACACTCTTGAGAACCTAAAATTATTCTATTTATGTAATTTATTTGCATATTATCTCCCTTACTAAACTTAAAAACTGTTGAGGGCAAAGAGAATGACATTTCTTTCTAAATCAGGTACTACTGTAAATGCTCATGCAGTTAATAGTTAAGAGACAAATGAGTTCATGTCTTTATGATGCATTCAATGAAAATATTGTTTTTAGAAAACTGAGGTTCTGAGTGATTAGTTTTCTGTAAAGCCAGAGAGTGGCTTTGAATTAGTTTTCATCAATTAATTTAATTTTACATAATTTATATTTCATATTCCAGAGCATCTTCTATTACATTTCTAATAAAAAATAAGGTCATTTACCTCTCCATAACTGGCTAGGTAAACTTCTAGTAACCTGTGTAATTTTTGAAAATATGCCTGGACATTGTATGGTGTTTAATTTCCTCTCTGCCTCCTTTCCAAGTCTCTCAGGTCAAAGATTTTTGCAAAGCCCCTATAATTGTCAGATAAATAAAATCACATTGCTCATAATTACCAGGGACAATTCTGTGTAATTAGATGTTAACTCTAGTGTCCCCTCTCCTTTATGACTCTGAATAAATACCCATTCCTGCCTCAGTCTGGGAGAAGAGCTCTATTGCAAATGTAGTGGCTTTGTTGCTCTCTGTGTAATTAACTACCATTAAAAGTCACTAATTAGATCGTAAGTTTTAAATAAGTTGCCCTAATTACCTTTGGTACACAGTGTATTGAGTCAGGAGGGCAAGTCCTTCAGAGCCAAGAAAACGTGGCTATGCCACTAAGAGAATTAACAGGGCTATTGGGTTTCTTTTCCCTTTCCATTCATAAATGGGAGGATGAGTGCATAGGAAGGGGGCTGGTTGGAAGCACAGAAAAGGATTATGGGTGAAATATGAACTTGTAGGCCAGGAGAACCAGAAGTTATCTCAGACTACACCTTATGGAAACTGTTCAAAGATGGAGTACTACCAAACATTACTTCAGGAAAGCCCCCTGCAAATTAAGAGCTCATGAACTCGGCAAAAATGCATAAATAGAAAAGGGGCCAGAAGCAACATGACACAATAGTTAAAATTTAAATTTTGGAGCACAGCACTTTTGATCTCCTTCAATTCTAAGAAAATTAATGTTAAATTAGAGGAACTCTCTGAACATACCTGTTCTCATTTTCAATGGAAGGATTATGATTAACACCTGACTTAGAATAATATTTTTCTAATATGACACTAATATTTTTCATAGAGTAAGTTCTCAATATTAACAATGATATTAATGGCAGAGATAATGGAGATGATTATACAAAGGGAACTATTTATTTTTTAGAAGTTCCTAGGTTCTATTATTTCAAATATCATTAAGTAATTTACTCTCCTCTCTTTTTCTCTCTGTCACTCTCTCTCCATCCATCTGTGTGCATGTGTATATATGTACATGTTGTCTATTACACCAAAAAGATAGTCCCAGGCAACTAGTATAAGAACAACTGTTACTGTCTTACTTAGATTCATGGCAGTTAAAAAGGAAAATACAACTCTTATCTTGTGTAGCATACATTCTGCTGATTATGTTGACATGTAAAGAGAAAACTGTTCCTGCTATAATTGCATTTACATAACACTGTGTAAAGCAACCCAGGAAAACTACATGGAACAGGTAGTATCAGTGATTCATTTATTGAATTAACTTATTTTGATCAAATACTTACACATGGCCATTGTCATAAGGAATTATTACAATAATTACATTAATGTTAAATAACAATATCTTGCATTAATTGATATTGCATGGTGTACCAGAATCTGTTTCGGTACTTTATGTATAGTTAGTAATTACCACAGTAAACCTACAGTTAGAGGATATCAAGTGGAGATATATTGCTTATTTTTAAATATGTAAAAGCTTGCAAATGACAGAGTCAATTTCCAAATATAATATTTGGGTGATACAACTGGGGTTTCTGAATCCTACACATAGTTTCATGGTTGCAAAGGATACAATTGTAGTGTCTATATCTCCATCTAAAAATCTCAAGAACTGAAGAACTGAGGATCTTTTGAGTATTTTCCACTCCTGATCTTTTGTATAAAGACTCTCCCAATTGTGTATTTGATTTTCCTTATAGTGCCAAAGAGCTACAAGCAATTAAGGACTGCTGAAAAAGTGACAAGCATCTTCTCTAGGGACAGGACTCTAATAGGTTTTCCAGTCCCATGCAGTCAACTATAAACGCATATGATTTGATCAACACTAAATGAATTTTTGAATTTAGCTGAGAAAATTTAGAATTTTTGTATATATATATATATATATATATATATATATGTGTGTGTGTGTGTGTGTGTGTGTGTGTGTGTGTATACTTATAATATTTACAGAATAAAAATCAATGAATTTGATCAGGATTTGGGAGACTCAGGAGAGGTGGGAAGGAGAAGGAGGCAGAAGTGGTGTAAATGCTCCTCCATGAAATTCTCAATAGATAAATAAAGGTAAAATCATTCATTTAAGCTAAAATTTTTCAAACAAATTACATTTTCTAAAACAATTGGCATG